TTGAAGAAATTGTAAAGAAAAACTGACAAACCCTTAAGCATGCAATGAGGCTTTATTCTATGCAGATTGACCAGTGCCTGTATGTGAGGTTTGACCATTACTTTTTAGAGTAAAGTAGTTCAAAGGGGGAGACAATTATGGCTGTGAATTCCTTTAAGACCATGAAATACTGTTCTCTAAGAGAACTAAGTCATGTTACTCACTTTTCCCAAAGCCTATGAAATATGTGGTAAATTCTGGCCAGCTGAGACATTTATCAAACAATTTTATATAAGAACTAGTTGTTTAAGTTTAGGTGCATTGGAATAGCAAAAGCCTCCTGGAAACTAAGCAAAATATTAAAAAGAATAGTGCATTTGAATACTGCTGCCATATCTGGTCTGGTGCTCCTGCAATATATCTCAACATACTTGACAAAATTCAAAGAAGGGGGTCTGTAATTTAATCAATCCTGACCAGGCATCTTGTCTTCAGTGACTTTCTTATGAACACAATGTGGCTTCCCTCTGTATTTTCTACAAATATTTCCATGGCAACTGTCCTGATGAGATTTTTCCCTTGGTGCCTTGACTGCATAAATTTAAGCATGCTATTAGATTGGCAACTAGGTCTAAGTTTTACTAGCTAGATGCAACATCTATTCTAATTGTTTCTTTTCTCACACTTCTCACCTGTGGAGCCTCCCTTTCAATTTCTTGCCTCCCTGCCACCTACAATCTTTAAAAATTTAAATGCAACATCAGTCACCATCTTCTATCTTCCTGAAACCTGTTCCTTTATTGTCTTGTCTCCTCATTCTCTTTGACTCTCTGTACCCCCCCCTGTGTCCTAGTGGTTTTATTGCTTTGCTTGGGGTGAAAAGATTAAAAAAAAATGGAGAAGGTAAATTCCACTGGGAAAAAAGATAAAACTGCTCAACTCTTACATAATATCAATCAATACTATATGGCAGTGAAAGATGGACAGTTTCATCACAGATGAAGAGGAAATGTGAGGTGACAAATATATGGTTCTACAGAAGGATGCTGAGAATACCAAGGATGGAACAGATGAGCAGCAAAGATGTTTTGAGGAAAATAAAAAATAAAAGTAAATTTATATTGAGAACCAGAAATAAACAGTTGAAATTTCTGAGATACTTAATGAGAAAAATGACCTTGGAAAATTGGACATGCACAGGTACATATTGAAGGCAAGAGGGATCAGTGAGTTAACTCCCTAACAAATTTGTGCAAGTAGATGACAGAACATGAACAGAGTGGTATAGTAAAGAGACAGGCAGAGGAAGTTGTAAAGCCATAATCACTCACATTCTTTAAAGAAGAAGAATGCACTGATATTGATTAATAGGATAGTGATGCTGATACCTTTAATATCTACTTGAATTTGTATTCAAAATGGCTGTATGAATAATCAACATGAAAAATGGAATGGGGAAAATTAGGTTCAAATTCCAACTGAAATTGTCTGTTCCATGATGTTCTTTACTTAAGGCCAAATCATCATGCACTCCACATTTTAGTTTCAGTTTGAAGTAGTTCACTGTTGTAGTTGACTTAAGAAATTTTTGGTATTTAAACTCTGAATAAACTGAGTAAAACTGAAGTATAAGATTTTAAGTATTTTATTTTCTTCGTTATTTATAATACAAAATTCACTAAAAAATGTCATTTCAGAAACTTGGTCTTGTTACTTGGAAGTTAATATTTCTCACTTTAAGTTAATTTAATAGTCTTCCCTGTGAATTTCTATTTCATAAAAGAAAATGCACTAATAATCGACTATTATTTTTCCATAATCTGTATTTATGTTTCTTACAAATTAAAAAGTATGTTAGCTTTTTACCTTACTTAGACTGAAATGTAACATTCTAATTTTGTTGATTGAAAGAAATAATTTGTTAATCCTATTTTTTCTAGTTTTTTTTTTAACTTCCATGTTCTTATAAAGTCTCTCCCAAGTTTATTTTAATAATGCTATTATTTGTTACAGAATGTTAATATTTTTCTCTATGATATCATTATTCATAACAACAAATATATTCATGATAAAATTTAATGTTGAATTTTTAAAAACATGTTGAATTTTAGTTTACCATTAAAAAATAAACATAATATAAGAGCAGACAAATATTTTATCCTACAAAATTTGTAGAAAAAATTATTTAAGAATTTTGTTACATAAACTTAATCTCATAATTAAATTCAATAAATTTAATCCAATATTTTTATATTATAAATGATGCGATGAAATGCTACTCCTAACTCTGTTGCTAAACTAAACATTTTTAAGAGTCAATTTTCTTTCTAGGTATTTCTCTAATCATAAAAAATAAAATTTATAACAAAATAAGTCAGTATTTACATTAATCAGATTATTGTCCTCATCTTTGTTTCCATGTTTATCACAATGTTTTGGCCATTGTATGCTCCAGCCTTCTTCAGTTGTTTGGAATGTTGAACTGTCAGTTATCAGTTATCTCTTGTTAATTCTCCTCTCCAAGTTCTCCACTGCCTTAACCAGGTATTGAACTCACACTCTTTGGGCACATGGATAAAAGCATTGGTTAGATCCAGTGACAGGACCCAAAGAGTTTGAGTTCAATACCTGGTTAAGGCAGTGGAGAACTTTCAGAGGGGAATTAACAGGAGATAACTGATATCCATTAGACATGGCATGTGGAACTAGAACAGTCTACCCCAGTGAGCAAAATAAAGGGTTCAGTTTGACATTCCAAACACCTGAAGAAGGCCAGAGTGTACAATGACCGAAACGTTGTAACAAATATGGCGACAAAGATGAGGACAATACTCTGAATAATGTAAATAATACCTTATCTCAGAAATATAGACAGATGTTCAATTTGACATTCCAACCACCAGAAGAAGGCCAGAGCATACAACGGCCGAAACGTTGTAATAAATATGGCGACAAACATGAGAACAATAGTCCAAATAATGTAAATACCTCATCTCAGAAATATAGACAGATACAAAATAAGTCAGTATATCAATAGTTACTTCATTTTCTAAACAATAAAATAAAATAAGTTACTTTAATGTTTATTTTGTTTCATGTCATATCTTTGTCCCAGAATTCATATTTCCAATATGGCTTTTTATTTTATTAAAACTGTTTTAAGATGGATAATTTATTAAAAGATTAAAAATGCACATGACATTTTGTACACTCTTGTTAACAGGGTGGCAAGTGATGGAACCAAAGTTCTGCCAAATTATATATTAATCATAATAAGACTTTGGTAAAGAAAAATTATACCAAGATCAAGAGGATTAACCTTTTAATCTAAATTAATTATGCACTTAATCTCTACATTTTCCTTTGAATTTCTTCAGCTGACTACAGCTGCAAACAACAGCAAACACAAACTGAAACTAAAAGTCTTTGCTCTCAGTAGAACAACAAGATTGGAAACAGGCCTCCAGTTCTTGTCTTCAGTTGCACTATGACATGGCCTTAAGTAAAGAACACTATGTTGTATGTTATGTTAAAAAAATGTCTATAACAAAAGGCATGAATACACTTTATTCTCAGCTCTCTATCCCTGTTTGTACCAATCCCACGTGGGAATGATTGCAAAACACTTTCCCCTCAATGATTTATAGGCAAAACTATGCAAATGCATGCTGGGATTTCTTCATAGCCAATAATATAGCCCCAGTCTGTCTTGTTGAAGTCAGAACACTACATTTGTATATCCAAATTCACAATTATATGTCAACCCCAATTCTTAGTTTGTGAACTTTTCGCTATATTACTATTAATTTGCCTTGCATATATTGTTTGCTTGCTTTATTATCAGATATACTGACAGAAGACTCACAACTGGCATATTACAATGGTTGATAAAACAAAGAAGTTAAGTGACTATTTGGGCAAATCCTTCTTCCACAACTAATAATTTTCCTAAAAATGAAGCGGTTATATCAATTTCCAGCCTAACATGGCCCAGTTGTATTTCAAGTATATTAGATGTGGATAAGAAGTTATTCCTTATAAAGAATAATCTTCTGTCATTAAATGCAAACAAAAACAATGTCTATGGAATCTAAGATGTACACATTGAACTAATAAAATCTAAGTTATTGAGATTTATTAAGCGAAAAAAGTCAAACATTAAGTTAATTGGTTTGGATTCTGAAATGTCATAGCTGTGGACATGCAATACAATCAGATTGCAGCAAATCCCAGAGAGGCTGTGGTTTAAGAGAAAAATAAAAATAAAATTTACTGCTCAGTGTAGTGAATGAACTCACAAGCTTCAGTCAATCAGATAGAGACTTCAGCTTTTAATAGAGATGTCACCTCTACTGACTGGAATAAGATCACCCAGTGGAGATCTATAAAAACCAAAGTTTTTTTCTCTCTAGTAAGTGATTTCACTGTTGCCTGGAGAACCTTTGTCACTCAGGATTAACCGCCCACACACTAAAGAATTTTGCCAGTTGCTTGATTCCTGAGAATGTCAAGTGGAAGAGAAGAAAGAAGTCTTATTTAATTTAAACTATAGCAGTAGACATTAGCAAAGCCTGGAGGGGCATACAGTAGCAAAGCCCTGAGGGGCAGACAGAAGCAAAGCCCTGAGGGGCATACAGTAGCAAAGCCCAGAGAGGCATACAGTAGCAAAGCCCAGAGGGGCATACAGTAGCAAAGCCCAGAGGGGCATACATTAGCAAAGCCCAGAGAGGCAAACAGTAGCAAAGTCCAGAGGAGCATACAGTAGCAAAGTCCAGAGGGGCATACAGTAGCAAACCCCTGAGGGGCATACAGTAGCAAAGCCCAGAGAGGCAAACAGTAGCAAAGCCCAGAGAGGCAAACAGTAGCAAAGTCCAGAGGGGCATACAGTAGCAAAGCCCTGAGGGGCATACAGTAGCAAAGCCCAGAGGGGCAGACAGTAGCAAGGACCAGAGAGGCAGAAACTAGCAAAGAGTGGAGGGGTAGACAGTAGCAAAGCCCGGGGAGGCAGACAGTAGTAAAGCTCAGAGGGGCAGACAGTAGCATAGCCCAGAGAGGCATGCAGTAGCAAAGCCCAGAGAGGCAGACAGTAGTAAAGCTTGGAAGGGCAGACAGTAGCAAAGCCCAGAGAAGCAGACAGTAGCAAAGCCTACAGAGGCAAACAGTAGCAAAGCAAGGCTTGGTGGGGCAGACAGTAGCAAAGCCTCAAGGGGCAGACAGTAAGAAAGCCTGAAGGTGCAGAAAGTAACAAAGCCTCAAGGGGCGAACAGTAGCAAAGACTCAAGAATCAGACAGTAGCAAACACTCAATAACCAGGCTGTAGCAAAGCCCAAAGTGGCATGCAGTAGCAAAGACATACAGTAGCAAAGCCCAGAGAGGTACACACTAAGCAAAGCCAAGGGAGGCAGACAGTTGCAATGGCTGGAATGGCCGACAGTAGCAAAACCCAGAGAGGTAGACAGTTGCAAAGCCTGGGGAGGCAAACAATAACCTCGAGGGGCAGACAGTCACAAAGTCTGGGGAAGCAGGGTGTAGCAAAGCCCAGAGAGGCATGCAGTAGCAAAGCCCATAGATGCTCAAATTAGCAAAGCCTTAAGAGGCAGACAGTAGCAAAGCCCAGAGAGGCACACAGTAGCAAAGCCCAGAGAGGCAGACAGTAGCAAAGCCCAGAGAGGCAGACAGTAGCAAAGCCCAGAGAGGCAGACAGTTGCAAAGCCCAGAGAGGCAGACAGTAGCAAAGCCCAGAGCGGCAGACAGTTGCAAAGCCCAGAGAGGCAGACAGTAGCAAAGCCCAGAGAGGCAGACAGTAGCAAAGCCCAGAGAGGCAGACAGTAGCAAAGCCCAGAGAGGCACACAATAGCAAAGCCCAGAGAGGCATACAGTAGCAAAGCCCAGAGAGGCAGACAGTTGCAAAGCCCAGAGAGGCAGACAGTAGCAAAGCCCAGAGCGGCAGACAGTTGCAAAGCCCAGAGAGGCAGACAGTAGCAAAGCCCAGAGCGGCAGACAGTAGCAAAGCCCAGAGAGGCAGACAGTAGCAAAGCCCAGAGAGGCAGACAGTTGCAAAGTCCAGAGAAGTAAACAGTAGCAAAACCCAGAGAGGCACACAGTAAGCAAACCCTGGGGAGGCACAAAGTTGCAATGGCTGGAATAGCTGACAGTAGCAAAACTCAGTGAGGTAGACAGTAGAAAAGCCTGGGAAGGCAAAAAATAGCAAAGCTCAGTGGGGTAGACAGTAGCAAAGCACAAAGTGGCAGACAGTTAGAAAACCTCAAGGGGCAGACAGTAGCAGCGCCTTGAGGTGCAGACAGTAGCAAAGCCCGGGAGGCAGACTGTAGCAAAGCCCAGAGAGGCACACAATAGCAAAGCCTTGAGGGACAGACAGTAGAAAAACCATAGTGGCAGACAATAGCAAAGCTCAGTGGTATACAGTATAAAGCCTGGAGGGGCAGACAGTAGCAAAACCCAGAGTGGCAGACAGATGTAAAAGCCAATGAGAGGGAAAAATAAAGGTAGATTTTGGGGGGTCGGGGAGTCCAGAGAAGCAAAAAAATTAAAAAAAATAAAAATAAATTATAAAATTATAAAATCCAGACCAGTAAAAAAAGGAAAGCAGAAAAAGACTAAAATTAGAAAAACCCCGAGAGAAAGCAAAATTTAATTTTCATTGATTTATAATCATATTTCAAAATATCTGAACTCTCCAGACAAGAAAATGTACAAACTTTTCCAAATAATATAAAGTTATCAATGTTTAAACAACAATATAATGACAACACCAATATTTGATATTGATGATTAAATACTGTTAAAATTAGTTCTTATCTTAAATTCTATATTCATCATACTTATGGATGAATAATATAAATATCTAAAGTTAAATTAAAGTTAAACCTTCATTTTTCATTTGAGTTTCATTCAACAGTTTAAAAACAAACATCTAAGTTTTGTTTATATTTGGGGTTTGGATGTGCATGCATGTGCGCTTTATTTATTAAAATCCTGCCAATATTGGTGAGAAGTAAGAATTTTTAAAAAAATTAATTGCTTTTAAAATAAATATAAGGTTTCAATTACATTTTTTATCATCCCAAAATAAACTAACCAGTCATCCCAAATTATTGTCCCTGAGAAGATATGTTAGTTTTCATCCTTACAACCTGAATAGCTTCTAAAAATATTGTCATCACAGTTTTTATGTGAAAAGAAAAATTAACAGTGCAACTACTTAATGTTATGCTAACTTCTGACTCAAATATGTACATCTATATCTACATACAAGTTTAGCATATAAATGTGTGTATATTTACTCTGGCTATGATTATCTGAGAAAGAGCATGAGATAAGAAAGACAGCAATTATCTAATAAAACGATTATTAATACATTTTATTGGGTCTAAATGTGACAAACATATTTTGTAAGCATTCAATCCTTACTTAGTGAAGAGGCAAATCGCTTTACTGAAGAAATTTTGAGCTTATTATTTATCTATATGATGATGATGATGATCAAGACCATCATCATCATTTTAATTCAAGGTATTGGATACCAAATATAAGAAAGCTCAAACCAGTGACTTACTTTCTAGCCACTATCACAGTACAATATATTAAACATAGATCTTAAATTGTTTGGGAAAATGGCATTTATTTCTTAAGCTTTTAGAATTAGTTTTTACTTGAGAAATTACTTTGCAAGATATGAACATTGACAGTTTCTATCAATGTTTATGAAAGAAAGACTGAAAAAAAATGGTTTTATATTGTTTTGGAGAAGAGTAGTTTCTTAGTCTGATTGCTGAAAAGGTAAAATCTGTCTAAACCCAATTTACCAAAAATGGGATCAAAGGAACAAAGATCAGAATTTCTTTGAAATTGTAATCCCTTCTTGAATGTCAGCATACGCTAATAATATGAAAGGAAATTCATAAAAGATTTTGGACAAGTTCATAATATAGCAATCAGTGAAACTTACAGAAAGAAAAAAGACAAAAGCTGTTTTAACATGAATGACAACTTTTAGACAGCAACATAAAATAGGACTTACTGTACAAGTCTTGGACATCACCAATCTGTATTAATTTGGGACTAATTTTCACAAGAGTAATTCCTGATTTCCTGGTTTGTTGCATGGACTTGTGACGACTGTCTGGTGATGCTACTTCACTTGGGTATCACTGAATTTTTCTTTTCCTTTAGTTAACCAACATATCCTGATTTACAATGCATTTTAAAGGTAAGATGAAGAGGTTAGCTATTGGGATAAGTGTATTCTAATATAACCAACAGTAATCCATCAAAACCATTTAACCTGCACCTTATGATGCTGGATTAGTGAGAGTCAAGATAGTGGAACAACAACAAACTGTAATAATGAACTTGTTCAAAAAAAAACAAAAAAAAACAGAATAATAAGCAGCAATTTTCTGAGTGAGGAGAGCCTGCATGTGTTGAGATTTTTGCATTGTTTGAGGTCCTTGAACTTAAACACTGAATTGCACTGGCGATTAGTTCAGCTAAAATAGCAAGTTTTATATCTATATATATATATATATATATATATATATATATATATACACACATTCTTTTTATAGATACAAATATTTAAGTAAATACTCTGTTCATAATAAACAGTATTAACAACATTTAGCAGCCTGAATGTCTGAAAAATTTTCATAGAAAATATACGTCCTCCAACGGGAATTGAACCTATATCCTATACGGAACTGTCATATAGCCTGACGTGCCTTAACTGATTGGGCTACAGAGGAGCATTCAGTTAAGGTTGATTTTACTGTTTTTAAACACAATTCTCCATGATTTTCTCTCATTCATTCATATCTGATCAATGTGTATCTAAATGTAAACAAATGATGTCATACATGTTCTTAATCTGACTCAGTTACGAAACATGAGTTTTTATTTATTTATACGTTTTTTAACAAGGGCTTCAAGCTTGAACTGAGAACTTTCCAGCCAAGTAGTTAGAACATTCACTTTCTGACTATAAGACCAGAGTTTGAATCTTTCCATGATCAATATGTCAGGAAGATGGCTTTTTGATGTTATCAAATTGAGGAGGCATTTCCAGTGTATGGCACTTTTAGAAAGTACCTGGAAACCATATCAGAGATTGACCCAATCCAGGTGAGCAAAATTGGGTAGATGAAATTGTTTGTTGATGATTGTGCCAGCACAAAGTCATCATGACTGAGGGTTTAAGCATACTGGCCTTGCTCAAACTGTTGACCACACCATATGATGTACAAGTGCTCTCTCCCAAAAACTCTAACTAAGATTTACACAACATAGTTGTAGTCATGCAGTCATAACTGAGAAGTACTGATTATGTCATCAAAATGAGTGATGACAGAACAACTAAGGTCCTCATGTATAGCCAGCATCACTCTGGAAAAAGAAACATGGGAGGCTATTACACAGATTTAAAGGCAAACTGAAGGGTAATTGTGCAGCTATCAACTTCCTCTCTAAGACCTTTCAGTAGCTGGCTTCAGATCAAAAGAAGTGGAGAGCTAGTTGTTTTAATTGCATGAGTGGCTTTGAAAATGACTGACTTCAATGCCTGGAGGAAGCAAAAGTGAATAAAAAAAACATCATCATCATTATCACCCACCTTGTCTTGAAATCATTACTTTTGCACAATTTGGAGCTTTGTTGGCAAATCACTTGAATGATTCAAATGTTATACCAGACATGTGTTTAACACATGAATGGATTTAGTTGATGGGATCAATGGGAGAATCCATCCTGTATCATATATACATATGTATATCAACTGAAATACATCTCTTATTTTATGTTGTTAATTCCATTATCAATAAAGATTTAATTATTAAGATGTTTCTGTTTGTATCGGAAGGATGTACATGTAATATTGTCAGAAGAGGAAGCAATTTTAGTTCAAGAAGAAAATCTCTTTTCTAAGAGAAATCTATGTTGTAAATCTGTTTGCTAATTTCAAAAGAATATTCCTTCTCTGAAAATTATTCCTCATAATTTGTCTGTCTTCAAACTTGCAATCACTTCACTGACGAACAATGGTTTAAGGTGGAAGCAAGTGAAGATGAGATTCTGAGAAAAATCTTTTTCAAGAAATCGTAATCTTATATATAAAGTACAATGTATGTGTGTTTGTACATTTGTGTCCAAGCAACTCCTCCACTCCCACTGGTCTGATTTCAATGATTCATGGTTCATTCAAAAACCCTCGAAAAGTTAAGCGCGGGGAACGATTTTCATTGAACCCAAACTCAGGGTTGCTAGTGTCATCCTGCCTTGATTGGGGTGAAATGCTTAAAACAAAAAATAAATAAATAATTTGTACCGGAAATGATGTATATAATGAATATAATAAAAGTTGACTATTTTTTATCTTCCATTTATTTTGCAAAAAATAATATCAAAACATATAAAAAGTAATAAAAAAAATAAGCTTCCTTTAGCATGGCCTGGACACTGACCGCATACTGGTAGCTGATTGTTCACGTATCGGTGCCAATCTGTGGACCACCATCTTGAGTAGCACTGACTTAGAGCATATTTTACTACTGACTGGAGTGCTTTTTTACCTTTTACTTTTCTAGTAGGTATTAAAGAGAGTAATTCTCTACCTAACATTCATACTATGGTGCTAACACTGAAGGTCAGAACAAGGGAATTTGATACAATGATCTACTGTGTGATTCTTATTAAGAATTTTTTTGTTTTTTGAATAGTTTCATAAGGTTTGGAATCCTTTGAACAAGCACTTAAGCCTCTTTCCAATGGTAGCCTGAGTTTCCTTATTTTCATTTGGTGGGGGGACAAAAAAATCATTGCTACAAGAGAAAAACTCAAAAGAAAAATCAGCAAAATACATAGAATCAAACATGAGGTAAAATTTAAAGAAAATGGATGCAAAAAAAAAAAAAAATCCCTCCCCTCTGTTTTTAAAATTTTGCCAAAAGTCAAGGAATTAACCGAATTCAAAGGAAATTTTCAACACTTATTCATTAATGAATGACGTATATACAGAATTGCTTATTTTATCAGAAGACTGTGGAGATATTTTTAGCTGGGGGGGGGGGGAGTTTATTTTGACCCTTCCCCTTTTCAATATCTGCTGTATACTTTTTAATTTAGTTGGTGTTTTTAAATTTTCTTTACAGTTTTAAAGAAAAATCCCTGAAGATGTTATTTCAGTAAAAAAAAAAATGTAAATGCAAATTCAAGTCTGAAGATACGGAAAATTTGTGCCAAACCTTACCAAAAATAATTCAATAAAACTCAAAAAAATATTTTTTTTCTGACAGTTGCTGCTTGCATAATTTAATAAAGCAACGTATTTTCTTTCAGATTGGACAGAAAAAAAGTATCTACACTTGATATTTATTTTTTTTAAAATTTTCAGAGCTATTTTGAAATTCATCCCTGCTCATAAGATGATTCCCTTTTTATGAAATAAAGACATGCTTGACTAATTGAAAAAACAAAGTTTTTAAATGCCATTTTCAAATGTGGACATTTAAAAGAATTTTAATTTTTTTATTTTAGCAAATGTGATATTATTTTTCTTATGCATGCTCAAAAAGGAAATAATTCTAAAATTACAGTCATTGACTTTTCCCTATCAGAAGACTAAAAAGAATAACTCTTTAATTCAGAATAAGAAACAAAAACAAACATTGGGTGCAATTATCTACTTTATGACATCAAACTGTTAAGGTAGTAATAAAATAAAAAATAAACTCAAAAATATCATTTAAGTAAAAAAAAAATAGTTCTATATAAATGTAGTATAAAAACAAAATTACTCATTCTACTAAGTTACGTAAAATAGCATAGAATATAAAAATTACATTCTTAAACTATTAGCATATAATTTATTTATTAGGTAATTTATTTTAAAATATAAAAAACAATTTATTGATTAATGCACTGTTGGTATTCCATATTTCTTCTAATATTTTTGCACACTTTTTTAAGAGTGGGATTGAAAAAGATATTTATAGTTGTTGACCTCTGAGCTCATAGACTGTCGTGCGTAAGTAAACATTATTTTTCATTATGTTCTGGGCAAAAAGTAAGCTTTATGTTTACAAAATCCAGTATATTAATCCCTAAATTAGCTGACTATGAAACAACTTTTGGACAAATACTAGATTATAGTGTACATAATACCTCATCT